ATATGTGTGAGAAGACCAAGTAGTCCTTTGAACAACAGATTTGACAAACGTAACAGTAAGCGAGGCTCGTTATTTGAGTCATCACAGACAGTGCCATATTATCTATTGTTGTTTATGCGACAGGTCCCCAACTGAGGCACAACAACTGTATTGTTTACTCTGCAAGTTTGCTGCTGGGTATGTAAACAATTTGCTATATAAACGCTCTCTGTCCGTAAGCTTGCTATAAGCTATAAGCATAAGCATAAGCATAAGCATAAATATATATATATATATATATATAATCCAAAGGCGTTTTTGCGACGATCATTTCTAAAATCCGGAGATCTACATCGTACAAGCAGATACAATTGGTGGACACCGAAGCACAAGGCAAAATAATAAAGGGTCGGATCTTTAAATTATGCTAATATCACATCGCGTAAAAAAGTATATGAACAATTGAAAAAAGATATGCGATCAATTAGTAAAAAAATAATTGCCTCTTCATTCCAAAGGAAAAAGAAAAGCCAACGACCAATCTAGAGATACGAAAAGACAATATACATCCAAAAAGAAACATCACATCGCTGCGGTTATAGCTGATTACGATATTGAAGTAAATAAATTTAACGAACTAAATATAAATGTTAGATGGAATGTGGGGCAAATGATTACTTAATAATGTTTCGCTAATGGCTTAAAGAATCATTATCGCCGATAAATATCACCGAATTTCGTATATATATGTTAGCCAATAGAATTTAAGAATTTGATAATATCACGTGAATATCGACATTTGAAAATTTAACATTTTTGATGACTATAGGTGCATACCATTCTGATTCAAAGCATAAACGGGGGATGCTTACCAAACTTAGCTCATACCATTACCTTTATTATAATAGTCGCTCGAATTTTGCAGGTTTGTTAATCATTTTTGCCTCAAAAATGGAGCTTTCTCTCGAAAAGAAATATGAAATTGTCTTCTTGCGTCAACATCCGGCTGAACCAAAGTGGAGTTTTGAGAAAATAGCTAAGCAGATTCACTGTAGTAAGCCTACAGTCATTCACTGGGCGAAGAAACCCCCGTATTTAAGTACTGCAGAATGACCCGATCGACCACGCATTACAAAGGCAAGAGAATTACAGAGAAGGAACACAATATAACAGCCACCCAAATTCAATAAAAAAAAAGAAGAAGAACAGAATATGGAGATTAGTGTGAAAACTGAGACAGCGTCTTCGTCAAGCTGGGCTAATGAAATGCTTAAACTTCTGCTTACAAATACGATCATCAAATAAAACTGTTGCAGTGGGCAAAGAAGCAATTTTGATTGGAATCATGTCATTGTTACAGACAGAAGTACGTTTCAACTATATTCATCGAAAAAGAAGGTCTGGCAGTTTACTAGAAATAAAAAAGATTTCGTACTGTCAAGCATCTGCTGAAATTTTATCTTTTTCTGCTTCAGGGTTTGGTAAGTTGAATGTTTTCGGAGAAACTTGGATGCCAATTTTATGTGCAGTATATATGTGCAGGGTCTTCTGGCTTCCGCCCATGAGCTTTTTGGCGAGGTAACATAAACTAAATTTTGCAAGAAGACAACGATCAAGCACCGTTCGAAAAATTGAAGGAAAGAAAATAAGATCAAGGTACTTCCTTGGCCATTAATGTCTCCGGACCAAAACCCTCATTGAAAACGTGTGGCGTTTAATAAAAATTGATATATATAGAAATCAAGTTAGTTAAGGGTTGAAGGGGGAACTTGCAAAAGAATGGAGCCGTTTCTCTCCCAAGTTGGCAGAAAAATTAGTAGACAGCATGAAACGTCGTGCAACGCATTTACAGATGTACTAAATAGTTTGGTTAGTTATGCACTTAAATAAAAAAAAGTTTTTCAAATTTACTTATCTGTGTACTTATGACCGGTAGGATACTTGTGACCCTACTGTATCGTCAAACTATTAGAATTCCCTTTAAAATAGGAATAACAGCGTTATACGGCAAATTTAAGAATAGCATTTAAATAACGATTTACGATTAATATTAATATTATTGGATCGTCAGATATGTATATATACAGTTACTCTTCTTTTAGTGATACATAAGATTCGTGCTTATTGCAGGATGCAAATTACGTTTTCGTACTCGCTTTACAGTTTATTCTATAAAATTTAAGAGTCAGGGCCTGAATTCATTATTTTCCAAGCAGCGGGATTGTCAGTTAAAGAGGTTTTATTTACTATTGTGTAAACGGCAAGCACCAACTTTATTTGCATATATAAATCAACAAAGCTTTTTAACAGTCACGTGTATTCACGGTTTACTGATATTAGTATCCTTTTTAAAGCAAAGGAGGACACCTAGTTCGGATTGGCATTGTCTTCTTTGTGTAATAAAAATTACCGTACGCACCCCTTCCTTTATGTAATATATAAAGTATTCGTTGACTAATTTCTATTAAATAATAGAAATGAATCCAAGTCTTTAATAATCTTGACTAATATTTGACATTTGCGTATTTAATTGGAAAGAGTTCAAATGTCATTATTACATGAGGAAGTTAACAGTCAGGAATATGTAGAAACATTGAACAGGTTAAACCCTTGAATAAAACTCGTACAAACTCTATAAATAACCGTGATTACAAGTTTATTCAAAGAGTTCGAGTCACTAAATCATAAACAGTGTAAGTGGACGATGTTAACATTGTAAATTGACTTCAATTGTTTCTTCATACCCGCAGCTGAATCCAAATTATAACTGTTTCTCGGTTTGGGTAAACCTCCTGTAGGTAAGAGCTTACTAGAGTATTTACTCTCCTTCTCGAGACGTGATAGGGGTTTGACATTGCTAGGATAGATGGTATTCCATGCGTTGTCATCAGAACTGTCCATGCGCACCTTTTCAATAAGCTTTCCAATATCATCCCAAAGTGTCCGTGCATCTGGACGCTTATCAGGATCAGCATCACAACACTGCTCGGCAAGTTTCTTGTATTCCTCTGGTGCGGAATCA